TGAACATGAACTTGACTTAAAAGTTCAATACTGAACTGAACTGAACATGAACCTCACTTGAAAGTTCAATATTGAACATGATTAAACTAAACCTGAACCTGTACTTGACCAAAGTTCGGTTTCAGTTCGGTTCATAGAAACACTAGTGTCTGTTATATTAGTAGTTGACTATAAATTTCTAAGGTAAATGCATTTTATTTAGAAATTTTTAAAGTATAATAAATAATAGTTAGAGAATTATCAACAAGAAACTGCATGAGAAAATTTTTTTTCACTTAATTACCATATGCTTATGAGACTTAAAAAGGAATGCAAAGATTTTTTAACAAATCTGATAATTTACACATTGCTACATTTGTTAATACTAATCTTCTACTATATTAATACTTTTTTGCTATTTTGAAGAATACTGGGGATTTGTTTTAGAACCCACTTTGCTTAGTTTTTTAAAGTATTGAAAAAAATAGTGCTGGTTATCTTTCTAAAAACCAAGAACATTTACTATATCAGAGAGATTTAGAAACAATTATGTCATAGTACAATCCTGGATCTAATTAGTACAAAATTGTAACTTTTGTATTAAATAATTTAAAGATACAGTTAAAACAGTTAAAGATATTTTATAAAAGGGTTCGAAAGCAAATTAGAGCATATCATTGGCTACCATATCAGGTTATGACTTGTTATAGGAAAGGTTATGATTTGTCAATGAGTACATTATTCAGATTTAAATATGTAGATAATTTGTGTTCTCCTCAAATAAGGCTTTTCAAGCTTAATATCTGAAGTCAAGATGCATGAAGAACCATAACGAATATCATGCTTGTAGTGTTGGTCTTATATCATTGACTGCTATATCAGGTTACGACTTGTTGTAAGAAAGGTTACAACTTGTCAATGAGCATATTATTCAGATTTACTATGTGAATAATTTGTGTTCTCCTCTGATGAGGCTTTTCAAGCTTAATGTCTTCACTTCTCTGAAGTCAAGATGCATGGTGAACCATAACGAAATTTTATGTTCGACCATGTTTTCATCAATCTTTGAAGTTTTTTGATTCATATCCTTTAGGGTTCTGATATTTATTACATAATATCTATTTACTATAAGGGCTACCCCCTCCCTCCATATAAGATCTATATGATTGGCCAATTTAGAAATTATATAATTTCTTTGTATAATATAAGACATTGATATAATAAATACTCAACCACACTCTCTAAAATATTACATAATAAATGTTATAGCCCTTATATATATATATATATATCTAGGACAAGAAGAAATTATATGAGATCAGCAATTTCTGGTCTCTTGAGTTAGAGGAATCAAATTATGAAACTGTTACAAGTGTTAAACAAGAAAGGTGAAAATTGCTAAAGGTATTTAAATTTAAATTTTATTGATTTTAAAAAAAAAAATTCACTTCTTGTTTAATTTAGACACATGGTGCAGCACAAGCCTATAAAATTGGAAATTACTACCTTTTGTGTATCTTATTTGTAGTTAAAAACATTAATATAAAAAATTTGTTTAGTAAAAATCAGTCCTCAGTAAACCAGAATTTAGCCACATCATTAACAATAGCGGCAGTTGCATCTATATCTACTGTAACTACTAGTGACAACAATAATGATAAATCAGAGATCTTAAGCCTATCACATTTAGGCAAGCATGTATGTAGAGTAGGGTTTCTAGGTTCAGTTCAGTTCAGGTTCAGATTCAATAAACCTGAACCTGAACTTCAAATTTTGCAGATCATTGAACCTGA